ACTTCAAAGCGATCGCGAAAATCGCGACTTATTTCGCGAGAATCTTAGCGATCGCGTAGCGCGTTCGCGGCGCGAATTTTTATCGCGAGTCGCGCCGCGACTTCAGCGTGACAGTCTACCTGGGGAAAGAAAAAACAAAGGCGAGGCAATTTTTTTAAGAAAAATAAAACAAATTTCGATTGGTACATTCGATTGTTTCCAATGAAAGGAAGAATCACATTTGCCAACTTATTTACTTATTTTATTGATTCCTTGTGATAATCTGGGTCTCGTTAGAGAATTTGCTGTGAACTTTGCTTTTTTATGTTTTCTGTTTAGTTCAACCACATAATTATTTTCGCTCTGTTGAATCATGGGTAACGGAAAAAATGTTGGCATGCCCGAAACAATATTCATATCTGATCGTGGTGGCTGAAAACTATTTGATTTGATATCGGGATGAAATGAATCGATGACATGTCGATTTTGACCTGACGGGTGGTAAAGACAGAAGATAATTTTGTGGCTGAATGGGCATTTGAGAATATCATCATACTTCTTTCATCAGAACGAAGAATAGTGACATGTGTGTTCGAAGTGCACTACCGTCCCCATACAGATAGAGATAAGCTCTCATTTTGTAGCCAGTGGATGGTGAATAGATACTCATTTTCGCTCAACCTGTGCGTCTATCATTTTATCCGAGATATTTGTTACTTTCCACGTAAAAGTACTATCATACGACGTGGACTCAAAAGAATTGACTTTTTCTTTGATGCTTAATAATTCTTGCTGAAATATTTTCTTTTGCCACAGACATGTAATTACTTTGTTTGGACAACTATGTTCATCTATTGCAGCCAATGTCGAAAATATTTCTTAACATGATTCACAGGCATAAGTCGAGTGTTCATTGTCTGAATGATTCTGAGAGTGAGAGGACTATATAGAGAGGGGTCCTATATCGGGATCATATTCAATTATTCAAACATAATTTCATTTTATATGAGTAAAACTAAATTCGACACCAGGATATGATCTCCTCAATAAAGATGTGGTTCATCATAAATATATATACGCAAACTGTAGCTGATAATACGAAATTCCTATCAGTTAGCATGTGGCGATAGAGTATGCCAAGAATGTCTCCCAGTTCTCAAAAAGTAAGATGAGAAAAATTTCGTAATATCTCTGGTTAGGTCAGATTCGATTTTATTCTCTAGAGACGACACAATGTTGAAATATCCAGAATGTGGAGAAACAGATCGCACTTCCGATGTACGTGATATTTTTTCATTTATTTCCTGTTGAACTAATTAAGATATGCGACTATTTCAGTGTATAATTGATAAAGGTTTTGCAAGAGAAGTAAATCAATTAGATGTCACATCATTGAAAGAAGAGTAAATGTACTTTTGATCATCAAAAAAAGATACTTTTGATCACGAAACGCCTTTAGATACAGATGATCACCAAAGAAAGATACTTTTGATCATCAAATTTTCCAGCATCACATTTTTATACATATAAATATATAAATTTTAACAAAGACAATATTTTCACAGTGTTATTTACATTTATTTACAAATTTAAAGCTGGTTGAATATGTGTAGTCAAATTTCTTTATCTCTTCTTTATTCATTCATTATATCAGTCAAATTTCACCATCTCTTCTCTGCTTCTTCTTATATATATACGCTTAAAGTTTATTCATTTGTAAAAATATCAGCATCAAACTGGATTCTATTAAGTATAGTAAATTTACTTGATGATGTTAAAGCTGTTGCTAAATCATATGGTGTATGTCAATGTCGAACAAATAATCTGAAGAATCATACAAAATACTCTTTTAAATGCTCTCAATATCGTAAATATCCATTATGTGGTTATGAACTCAAGGCAACTGTACCAGATGACGATCTAAACTCGATTACGGTAATGTTCAGAGATGCTCACAACCATGACGATCGAAGCCAGTCATCTCGTTTACCATCTCCAGTACGTCAATCAGTTCCAAAATATGTTGGTATTGGTTTAACAGAAGCTCAAATTCGTTCGTCAGTTTCAGTTGATCATCGCCCTGAAATCTTCTCAGTTTACGATTTTCGTAAACTTTCATCGAATTGCTTTTTACTCATATAAAATGAAATTATGCTTGAATAATTGAAGGCGATCCCCGATATAAGCCTCAATGTAGATATCATCCTTTTAAAAAATGTCCTTGATATTGAAAAATCTGTAAAAATATATAAAGATATACCACTGTATAATGCCAAGTTGTCGAGTTAGTGTGCTTCAAGTGTTTTCTTTTCTTTCTACCAATAAATAAACTTTAAACTAGCTCATGTTTCATGAGGTGCAAAGTAGAGATGTGCAACCCGACCCGTACCTGTCCCGACCGGAGGATTGGGTATGGGTGCGGGCTCTACTTTTTTTAATTTACCCGAAAATCCACAAAATTTGAGTGAATAAATACAAGAGTTTAGCAAAAAATACACGAAGGTTTAAAAAAGAATTACTTGAGAACGTAATAATAATTCGAAATCTTCAGCCGAAAACGCAAACGAGAAAATTTTTAGGCATAAGTCGGGTACGGGTACGAAGTTGTCGTGTCGGGTACTGGTACGCATGCAGTCTCTAGTGCAAAGATACATCCCATTTATAAAAGAGCAATGTTCATCTGCTAACGCAAAAGTTAGGCTTTACATGTCAGCTTTTCTTCTGTGCAACATATCAGGCATACTCTATCGCTTAGAATAGAAAAAGATATAACGATGATCATGTTTTTCAAAATATGTTCCCGGTACGTTACCACAACTTTTCACGTATACTTGACCTTGAAAACCCGTCTAGGTATTGTTGAACAAGATGAACTTTAATTTTGTTAACAAAATATTTTCAACAATCACAAAAAGTTCAATATTATAGATGTAAACACGTAATTTTTATTATTATAATATTTTTACCGTCAGAACTCAAAGTCAAAAAAAACAAGTGGCAGCAGGATGAAAGAAATATAAGTCTGTTTTTTTGTTTCAGTGACTTCCATACTTAAACGGCTGAGAAGGGAAAAAAGCGAGAAAGAGTTACCGTTTAAGCCTTCCCTCAGAAATGGTGATTTGCGGTCAAAAAATCGGTTTTGACATATTCACATGGAAAGATAGCCTGAAATGTCGATTTTCTGAATTTGTATCACTTTGGTTACAAAAGTGGTAACTTTTCTTATCAAAATAAGACCTCGCACAACTCTGAGTCGTCTTGCATCAAAGTTACAGGCATTTTCCTAGAAGTCCTAAAACTGAGCATTTTATGCCGCGTTTAATACACCGTTTTCTCTACATGGAAGTTATATCTGAAGTGTTTCTCAAGATTTTTTATAGTGGTTTGTCGTAGAGAGTTTATTCTTTTTCTGTTGAAAAGAGGAAAAGAAACTACATGGTCTGACCGGCGTCGATTTCTGAATTAGGTCTTAGTTTTTATCAAATCTGGAAGGTGGTTTTGAAGGTTGTTGGTTGTCTGGAAAACAATAAAGGCTTAATCGAAACATCGGCGCCAGTCACTCCATGTAGTTCGGTGCGTAGTTTAAAACAAACCAAACCAGAACTCTCCAGCTTGAAGTATATTGAAAAAGTCTTGGGAACTACTTCAGGGTCCTTTTTGGCCCTTGATCTCTGAAAAACTCCTGAACGGTAAGACTTAGAGACAAAAAAAGTGTTTCATTCTCATAACTCCTTAAGCAGAACATTTATTGAAAGTTTCGCCAAGATCCGATGTACGGTGTCGGAGACAATTTCTGAGGGGGGCCCCTTAAGTTTTGCTTTTCTTATTTTAACTTTAACCTGTTTAGAAAAAAAGTTTTCTCAGAAATCCAGGATCTCCAAATATCCACTTTTTAAAAACCCAATGCAAACATTTTTTCACCATTTAGCAAGATAGAGCAAAGACTTATCTTCAAAATGAGACCTTCTGCAGCTCTCCACAACTCTTTTTCATTAAGTTACGACTTTTACACCACAAGCTCCAAAGCGATAATCAGCATATGACAGCTCTTTTTTATCATAACGTAGCTGAGATTTCTGCCTGTGGGGCATTTTTTGAGAAATGCTTTTTAGGAAAAATGTTTTAGTTTTTACGAAAAATTGAATATCATATAACTTGCACACTGCGACAAAAAATTAATTGCACTGTGGTCACCATACTTCATTTGCTATATTGATGTTCTTTTTATATCAGAAATGTGACTTTGGAAAAATAGATGATGATACGGTAATTGTTACGGTGCGCCTGACGTAAACATTTTAAGTCCTTTTGCACTACTCCTAAAAACCTTTTTACGCTCAGTTTTTAGAGAATTGAATATTCTATCCGACAGCACGATCGCACTTTTTCAGAAATGTTTCTTAGGAAAAACGTTTTAGCTTTTACGAAACATTTCAGTTTTAGAAATCATGTTTTTCCTTTGTTGTTCTCCAAACTATTTCGTTTCAACGCTAAAAGATCGAAAAATATGCCCTTTCGTTTAGTTTTTGATGCACTTTCAAATGAAATATTGCTCGAACAAAACGAACAAAAATTAACAGAGTTATACTACAGTTTTTCGGAGAATCGAAAGCAATGGAAGACAATGAAACACACAAATGAATAGTTTTTTGTGCTCTCTGTTCTATAGAACATTTTAATTGCTGTCTATAGTTCCAGTATACTTTTCATACTTACATACGCCTAACTGTGTTTGTTTATTAGATTAGACACATAACAGAAGACCTTTTGGTCTTTCGAGTTTGTTTGAAACTCATAGTCTTGTAATATCTAGCATTATTGCGAACACTCAATATTGATTGTACAGAGAGATGAAAATTTTTGTAAGGCGCCGCTAGTTTGGAGTTCGAGCACGGTTTTCTTTTCAGCTCAAAAATGCATCCCTAGTTTCGGTTCATCAAAGATAGATTGTCTTGCGCTTTTTCTTCTTTATTATTTCATGTAAATATTTTCGAGTCGAAAACGCGTTTTTGTCTGCGTTTAATCGCTGTAAATATGCACCATTTGACGCGTCATATAGTGACGCGTTCAAACGCGTTTTATTTAGACGCGTCTAAGAAGTGCAAATATGCACCATTTGCAGCTATCTGGACCCGTCCAAACGCGCTTTTTTAAAATTTTTAAATTTAATTCTTTATTAGGAAAAAGCTTCAACTCAAGTTTCTGTAATGAAGCGAATGTATCTTCTACTGAATCGCTACCAAAGGTTTAAAAAAAATCGTTTGTCAAAGCTAAGAACATGAGAACGAAGAAACACATGAAAGAAATCTTTGTAAAACAGAAAAAATGGTGAAGATTACACCAAACGGAGAAGCAGCCTTGATTACGCCGTAACCGTAGGTAGTCATGTAGAGAAAAGTTTGAATCAGAGCAGCAAATTTATGTTTACTTTATTCCAGGAAGTTGAAAGTACCTTTAGTTTCCATTATATCTGATTTACTCTCTAATTAATTACTAACATGGCCTCTGTATAGCAGATTGATTTACTGTGTTTTCATGGAAAAATGGTTTTGCTCACTGTGCAGAAAAAAGTAGACAGACAGTTGCAGCTCTAATTTGAATGTATCTTTATAAGGTTTATGGTACTTTGTCCTAATAGTTTGTCAGCAGAGCGCTCGTCGATGTCTCTGATGAGAAAAATATTAACTATCGTATTCACAATCTTTCGTCCGAACACGTTCGATAGCGATCTGGTAGAAGACACATTCGCTCACATTGTGCTTTAGTTAATCTATTTTCTCACTGGTTAGTTCCTTCAAAAGCTTCAATTTCATTCAATTTGCCTTTAGTCCAGATCAGGCATGCAACCATCCCAAGCTAGGGCTCGCTGATCGGCAGCGAACATGTTCGGTTGCGAACCGTTTGGTGACCGAACTATCGGTTTGGTGCACGCCTATTCAATAGTCATTTGACTATGTACCAGCAACGACCATTTATTAGAATATTTGACAGATAGGTTAAGTTGTTTTTTTTTCTTTGTATATTTGCCCAATACAATATAATGCATATAAATATGCTTCTGAAATAGTATTTGCCATTGAATTTTCGTATATATCCAATGCTCTATGAAAATAAACAAGAGAATTATTGAAATCTGGTTGTTTAAAATAACAAATTGCAATATTTTTATTTTCTGCAATCTCTTCTTTATTTTGATCTTCCATAGCATGATTGAATGCAGATTGAAACTGTTCACGAGCCAAAACAAACTGACCTTTATCAGCTAACAATTTCCCGATCTTGTTATGAACAGAAAGAAAATCAGAATTTTCAACATGTTTTGAATATGTTTTATATCTAGTCAATAATTTCTGATAATTATCAAATGATTTATCCAATTCTAACATTCCTTCATAACACGCTGCAATACCGAAATATGATTGTCCAACGCGAGCAAGATACCGTTTTGGCTAGAATCTTTTTTCATCAATTTCTATTCCGTTTGTTAAATATGTTATACTTAAATCGTATTGCTTATTTAAACCATAAATGTTACCGAGACGAATAGAAATATTTGCTATAGATGAATGATTAGAGGGATAAATTTTTTCATACATATTAAATGCTGCTTGTGAATATTCTAATATTTTAATATAATTCGTCCAATATAAATAAATATTATCAACATCTTCATAAATCAGGGCTAGATGTGATAAGTCGTTTGGTCCAATGTTTTGAAATTCAAGTGCTTGTTCATATTGTTTTAATGCTAGATTATAATAACCATTTCTACCATAAAGACATTCGATATGAGACTGTTCAAATATCGTGTGTGATTACTACGTCTATTGGTATTCATGAAGAGTGTCAATAAGACGCTATTGCCGCTCGGTCGCGAGGCAAACGCTGATTATAGCGTCAACCCTGTTTTTACTTTAAACTTTGTTCTTAGATCCTTTATTTTTATTTCTAATGAACCGAACAGCGTTTTTCACACACATTAAGAGCCCCCCTCTCAGGAATTTGATGTTTTCTTCGCAAACTTCAAAACTGAAGTAACCATACGATTCAGTATCCCAAAGTGTCATTTTTCAGAATCCATTGTAGTTTGCCAAAAATTCAATGTTTTCAAAAAGATTTCTGAAAGCCCTAAAAATCACCTTTTTCCAAATTTTATATTTTAACTAAAATTTGTAAGGTTGTCCGTTTTAACAGACATGGAGCTATGTTGAGCAGAATGTTCTGATCAGAATGAGATGTCCAGGAGGTTTGTACGACTTCGTCTTGCAGAGTTAGACTAGTTTTGCTAAAGGCGCTGAATCATAATTAATGAACTAATGACGTCATTACTTAGAATATGGTTTTGACGCACCAACTCCTAGACAATTCGTTGTAAAACCTGCATTCTTTTTTATTTTGAAGCTAAGACATTTATCTAAAATTTGATCCATGGCAATTTTTGATTTTTATTTTCTCTGCAGAGATAAGTGGCAAATACTCCGCCAAATTAGGGTTATTTTCAGAGGTCTGACTTAAAATACGTTTAGGGAATGAACAGAAGCGAAATTCAAAAATCGTCGCGGATCAAATTTTAGATTTAGTTGTCTACTTTCATTTGAGGTCACTCGTAGCTTTCTGCATCTTGCAACAAAAAAGCCTTTACACTTTTGCTAAGAGCCCCATTTTACCCCTTGTCGCGCAACAACTAGGCAACGCTTCAACATTTCGATCTCGGATTCTTAGCATGAGCTAGTAGGACAATAGGCATTAATCACTGAGAGCGCCATTGAAATCGGATGTAAGATAAAAAAGCTTTTTCCTGAGCGGGAAGGTCCCCTTATCCCCCATACTCTCTCTCGTTACATAAGAAAATATCTCTATCTATACAAAAAAGGAATGAAAGAAAAGAGATATATAGCCTCTATTAACCTAGTCGACAATGAAAAGCAAGAGAGAGAGAAGTGAATTCTATAAATCAAAAAACCGACAAATATCTTCTTTGTGTACAGTATGTGATAAGTGTGAACACTAGTCAGACAAGAGTGAAGAAGTGAAACTGTCTTCTCTTATATATGAACTATAGTTTCTGTAAGAAAAGATCAACTGCGTTCTAGAAAGAGCAGTGAGTTATATCCAGCAGTTCTGAGTGAAATAGTTTCCTCCATTTTGCACTGACATGTTGTGTTAAATATCTTTATTTACAGCTTCAGTTTCATTTTAGATAAAGATCTTACAATTCCCTGAAGTCATGTGTGAATCTTAGTTGCTTTCTGTCAACCAGATTCTTCTAACGATCGTAAACCTTCTCTATCAAGTATTATGATCGTCATCTATTTATGATAAGCTATACCTAAAAAAACATTGAGTTCTAGCTGTAATAAAAGCATGGAATTAAAAGAGACCGGAAACATCACAGATGTTAATTGAAAGAGTGCAATATAGAACTTTGCATACTATGAGAACTTTACTTAATTGGCAATTAGCGAAAACTATGAGGCTGTTACTCAGTACAAAGCCTGACCTGTAACTGCTGTACCAAAAGAAATTGATCGCTTATTATTTTGCCAATATCCCTGTCAGTTTTCATTCCTAAGACTCGAACTTTTTTTTTCAAGATTCGCCGTTTAATTCTCTAGAAAAACTATATTGAACATTTTTATACATGGTCTTATATCGCAAGTTATAAACGGCTAAAATTTAAAAACTATTTTTAGGCTACAAAGTAATGGCGAATGGAGCTTTGCAGTGTTTCATCTATATTGCTTTATTTATATCATGTGTAAAAAAACATGGTCAATATAGTTTCACCCTCACTGAGTTTGATTCTGTCTTTTAGAATAACGGCGCGGCGGATACATCATAACATTCTGATATATTCAACTGTATCCTCATTTTTAAATACAGTTGGATATAGCCTTATTGAATCATGATATATCCAAGATGACGATACAGTTGGATATATGCGAACATAAGTGCTAACAATTTTTACACTTTACTTTCTTTCATCTTGGATATGTCACACTATATCTTTTCTCAAAACAGTTTTGACTGGGTTGTATCCGAACGACTCCAATTATGTTGTAATTTCGATATTTGTAAATAATCATCATTCGGTATATACCGTAATGCTATTGCTAGTAATTCAAGTGAACGACTAAAATCACCTTGTTTTTGGTAAACAACACTTAATAAATTTGTTATATTGCATCCAAATTGAAAGTTATCTATAGTTTGTTTCTCTTTTCACATGTAATATGCTTGCCAACCAGTTGTAAGAGCTAAATCAAGTTGATCAACACGTAAATAAGCCATTGATAAACCATATAATATATATATTCGGATCGATTCGATAATAAATATATTCGGATCGATTCGACTGCTTGCCGAACCGACTTGATTCTTGACACCTGGAGTCGAATCGAACCGAACCAAATTTGATTTCTTGAAGCACGAATCGGTCAGTCAGTTGAAACGCTTTAGTCAAGCTAAGCTACAATGACATCGTATAAAGTAACAAAAGCACCATGTAATAAAACTTTGTCTTTGTTGATAAAATTTTTGTTCTGCCAACAACAAGAACAAGAATTTTATTTCATCTTTCAAAGCTCCAGCCACATAAATGATATGTGGCTGGAGCTGCTCAAGTGTTCCATCTCGAGGCAGTGTATTTTAAACAGACGTGTGGAAATAAAAGAGAAGATAGTTTTGTGCTTCATTGAACTGACCCCAAGCGAATCGAACCGAATCAGGAAATAATGATTCGTCTCGGGCTCTCCTCTATCCAGAACGTATGCTTTCATAAGAGATAATGTGGAAGCATGAAAGGTATCAGTCTTCTCTTTTCCACTACTAGGAAGAAGAATTATGATTATGATAATGATGATCATTTTCCTATTAGGAACAACCGACCGAGTGAATCGAATATGAACATTACTTGTGAATTTGTAGTCCACACTAGGTTACGGTAGTTTTAGAAATCATGTTTTTCCTTTGTTTGTTCTCCAAACTATTCCGTTTCAGTGCTAAAAGATCGAAAAATATACCCTTTCGTTTACTTTTTGATGGGCTTTCAAATGACATATTGCTCCAACAAAACGAACAAGAATTAACGAGCTATAGACCGAATACTGAGGATGGTGGTTTTTGGAACTTTCGTGATGCTTCTCATTTCGTAAATTCTACAACTTTGTCAAAATAAGTCAAAAGAGACCAAAAATGTTTTCATAAACCCAGATTTGATTATGGAATCCGAATATAAGATAAAAACCATAGCTTAATTTCTTTGCTGGTGACTGTGTTTTTGGCAGGATGCTTCATTCGCTCACGGAACGTTTTGTAAGCTCATTTGACCAACTTGTCTGTAGACACTCTATGAACTTTTAGTTGTGATACAATAACTTTTTAATATTTTACCTTAATATAGGCTGAGAATTCTCAGAGAAGTTTTAAATTCTCCAGTTCTTCCGACTTATCAGAGAAAGAGTATTTTCTCTACAATGACTGTTTCCGAATATGTAAAAATTTCGAGGTACACATCTACAGACAAAAACATCAAATTTTAATATGCAAATGGAATATTGGCGGTTCAATTATTTATTCAAACGAACAAAGTTGAATAACGAATAATGGAACGCTAAAAAGCAACCGTGAAAAAGCTCTTTTCACGTAAAGTAACAGAAAACAAACAGTACCATTGACGGATACTACTATGCATTTCAAATTAAAAGGCAAATTGCTAGTTTTTGAATAACTTGATATATTAGAAAAGTGTTTTCCAATTCTGAGAAACAGAGTAATGGTATTTTGTTAAACTGTGTTTTTTGTTACTCCGAGATACACACCGATATGTGATAAGTAAAAATCTAGGTGTTTACCTTTTGTTTTCGTCAAAGTTTCTCATAAAACTGGTAGGCTTTTGGATGAGCCTGCGGAGAGATTTTTCAAGGTTTATTACTGCCTTTTGACACAAAATTGTCATCAGTATTATAAAAAAAAGAGCGCGTGATCATACTTTTTGTAGAAAAGTGGATGACATGTTTAGGTTAGAAGCTCAAAAACGAACTAGAACCATATTTTTTTTTTGCAACAGTGTTTTTCGCAGATATACAGGTGGAATATCTTCTATCAATATCCAGGAGCAATATCTTCAGCTGAAGACGACGGCTACACGCTACTTCGTTAAAAGACAACAGTGATGCGAATGCAATTGTTTCGGACGACGATGAGTGTCTCAATCCAACGACACATGGATCGATTTTGATGTGAGGCATGATTAAATAAGCTAAGTAAAGTGAGAAGATGAAACATTTCATAAAACCATATCCTTTAATATCTTTGTATGAGATCAATAGTTCATGCAATAATCCTGTGTATTGACATGAATTGATTTTAATCCAATATTTAAAACTAAATTGAATAAAATGCCAGATTTGGATATTTTAAAAAAATAAAAACGGGATGCTCAACAGTCTGTCTTTTGTGGATGATTAAAATTAGATAAGAACATTGATGATGAATTAAATTTTAAGGAGCATGTAATGGTTTTACACGTTGTCTAACAGATGTTGCTTGTTCAAATGCATGAGCTAATGTTAATAAAATATTTTCACTCCATGCTCGTCCACAAAATGCAATACCATACGGTTGCCCTACCGTATTTCCTTCAGTCTCATTTGTTAAATAACCTAACGGTACACTTATAATTGGATAACCGGCAATAGCTGATGGTGAAGTGCTATCATCACTTAACATAACCAATGCATCCAGTTTATGTTTATCCAATAGGTAATCAATACCACCATTAGCACGGCTTAAATTCAAATTTGTTTCAAATATCTGTTTATATATTGGGCTATGAATTGTTAGTGTTTGCTTCTCTGATTGTAACCATATATCTTGATCGGGCATATATTGTGAAAATTCTTTATCTGGATTGTGATTATTAAATTCAATTAAATCTTTCAATGTTTTCATATTTGTATTTTGTAATGTTTTTAAATATAATTCAATGTCACGCTTAAAATCTATTTTCATTATTAACAATTCGGTGTCACCAGATACGAAATAATCTGCTGCTTCAAAATTTATTGGATCTTTTATTTGAGCACCTAGTTTTGCTATTAAATTAATCGCTTTATTGAATGTTCGTAATTGATCCTGAGGTATAGCAGTATAGTTTAAGTTCCGCACAACACCTAAACTTAAACCACGAAATCCATTGATACCACGGCAAAATTGACTATAGTTGTGATAACGAACGGCCTTATCATTTAATGTTGCTGGATCATGCGGATCTACGCCCTGAATTACTCCAAGTAAAATAGCTGCATCTATAACTGTTCTTGCCATTGGACCAACCGAATCTTGATTATGTGAAATTGGGATAACACCGGAGCGTGATGTTAGACCAACTGTAGGTTTTAAACCAACAATATTATTAAAGCTAGATGGACTAATGATGCTACCATCAGTTTCTGTACCTAAAAAAGCATTTAAGCTCACATTTCATTCACTGCTAAAAGATATCATAAAAATAAAAATTATCGAAAGTTATAACTTTCGCTACGACCGCTACGAAATTTGCTCATGATTTGTGCGGTTTCAAAATATTTTTGAAGTGATCTTTTTCAGCAGAGTTAAGTATGATAAAGTTATTTTTTGTGAGGGTTAAGACAAAACTGATCAGTGGCATATTCGAGCACAAAGTGCTTCTTTCATAGTTTTCTGAGATAGTGGATCATCATTTTGGGGTAACGACAAATCATCGAACGACATTTCATCGAAAGATTTTTCATCGCACGGACTTTTCATCGCATGGACTTTTCGTCGAGCGACTTTTCACCGAAAGGTTTTTCATCGCATGAACTTTTCATCGAACGACTTTTCATCGAAAGATTTTTCATCGCACGGACTTTTCATCGCATGGACTTTTCGTCGAGCGACTTTTCACCGAAAGGTTTTTCATCGCATGAACTTTTCATCGAACGACTTTTCATCGAAAGATTTTTCATCGCACGGACTTTTCATCGCATGGACTTTTCGTCGAGCGACTTTTCACCGAAAGGTTTTTCATCGCATGAACTTTTCATCGAACGACTTTTCATCGAATGACATTTCGTCGCATGAATTATCCTAGATAACTGAACGATAACCATAAAGTAAATAGACGCACAAGAATAACTGAAAAAGTACGATGAATAAGGGTCGAATTTTTCGACGGCGGCGTCTCAAAATTCATCTCTATGCACACATGTCATACTGTTTGTTACGCTTAAAAGCAAGACATTCTATCACTGTCATTTTTTTTAGTCTGTTGCTTTCATTTTTTAATTATAATACTAATAATAATAGTAATAATCGTAATAATAATAATAATTTCATTATAAGTATGGCTAGTTTTTTATCAACTACTAAATGCAAACGTTTACTGCGTTTTAATGGTTATGAATATGTAA